GTTGATTAATACACATTGTTATAATATGTTCGTCTATTAGTAGGCCAAAACCTTCTTTCTAAGGAGAGGCCTATGTCCAGCAGTGGACTATTAAAGGCTGTTGATGTGATGTGATGTGATTAAAATAAGCCCAACTAATTGTATTTCTCAATTCGACGCATAATTTTTTATGATGAGTGATTCATCACTCATATTTTTTACGGAGTAATTCGGTTCTGATGTTACTTTTTTTATCGAAGTTGTTACATGAACAAAAAAACAACACTATTATGATGGATTTTACTGTTGACTGGCGAAACTACCTTCTTAAATATATTATACAAACGTACCTATAACGTTGCGTTAGATATAAATACACCTCTCTTTCATTTAAAGATTAAAACAAAAAAGCTCATTGCAACGATGACGACATTCACAGAAAGTACGAATAAATTTACTTTAGATTCTAAATATTGTAAGTCTTTACATGGTATAAGTTGAAGTCGCTTTTTGTTCCTGTATACTTAGATCTTTGAAAATACACAAAAATGCGGGTTTCACCAATAGAGAGAGCGATTCAAGAGGCGGGTTTATATATGTATAATATATGCATATTATAGTAGAAAATCCGAGACATTCAATGATTTGTATTGATTTTCAACGTTTAGTGCGCTTACATTGCAAACGTGACCTGAACCTTACGAGAGGGATCAAAATAATGTACTATGGAATTTTATATCTTAAACAAGATATGCAAAAAAAGTCCGCAATGGTATATATATCTATCTCCTAAGAATAACCGACAGCACCCACTTTTATATTTAAAAAAAAATGGGTTACTATTTTAAGTAATACAGTTAAATACGATAGTTACGTTGTGCATTTAATGTCAATGATCAAAATTGCCCTTTGCAGCATATCATTAAAATGAGTATCTTAGAAGATTTAAGACCGGGCCGGTACGTACAGCGTTGCAGCGATGGGCAGGCACGGAGCGTGACTATATAAATATTGTATAAAAGATCCTGTAGTACAGTCTAATCATAATAGTACCAAAATAATTATATACTCCACACTGACACAGCATTAGTATACCTATACATTGCACCCATACGAAGCCGAAGCGGATAGCTAGTATTCTATAAATCAGGGATTCCCAAAGTATTTGATATCGACCCCAAGGGGTCGACATAAACGAAAACTGATTTTGGGGGTCGACGAGGTCTAAAAATCGACCCCTGTTAATTTCTTTCAAGATACTGCATGAGTTGTGTTACGTGTACCAACTTGTTATAAGGCTGACTAATATGTCTATCTATTTCGTTTTTGATGAGTAAATAATGTCAAGCTTACTTACTTAACCAACGTGTCTTATTTTGTGTCACTAGAAAAACATCTAGAGAAGGGATTTTTAAAATAATTTGAACATGGGGGTTTGAAGTGTCAGTTCGTTTTGAAAAAGGGGTCTCTTGCCTAAAATAGTTTATAAATCCCGCCCATAAATTATTGCTGAAGTTATAAGAAGTTGGTTTTCCTTAAGTCAAAATTAGCTCTGTGTAAGTTATCCAAGAGTAAATACTCGTAGCTCATTTTGTGGACGTGATCACAACAAATCCGTTTTCTGTGAAATTAGTATACTGGCTAGATAATCATAGCTATAAGTACAAATTAATCAGCATTTTGACTGTTTACTTTTACATGATTTAGTGACGTAAAACAAAGACATCTAGCAATGATTAATTGATATATTTATCTCGCTAAATCTCCAGCTGTAAATGAATCGAGAAAACGAATGAATGAAATAAAAAGTCATGTGGCTTTTAGTTATTGCAGATTCGTACGTCAATTTTTTTTGTACAAGTTTTCTTTTTCAATTCAATTCAATTTAGAATCATAGAAAACATTAGGTGACCAAATAAGTGCATACTATAATCCCGAATTTAACAATATCAAGTTATGGAAATTATTGGGATTTTTTTGTCAATAGAGTTACTCTATCTACCTATTATACTCTCTTTACTTTATCTTTACATACAACGCATTGGATGACTTTTCCGTTTCCGCATATTTGTTAAGAGTGTAGTAGTTGTCCTAGAGTTTACCACATAAACGCACGCACAATCATTTTGTTTTGGCAAAGTCTAATCAAATTCGTATACCTGGGTGCGTGTCAAACCTAAGAGATGATCTAACTTAAAGATAGTTTCTAGATTCTATTGGATTGGGATGTAAAATTTATGTTATGTAAGTAAAAATTACACTTCCCAATATGACGTAATATTAGTACATGTGTACAAAAGGCAGCTGGTCCGCAACTCAACCTTAAAGCGCATATACCATTTAAGTACACTAATAAACATTGTCGTAAATTTATATTTTTTTTCAATAAGTAAGCGGAAACATACTGCAAACTGATATAAAAAGCATTTTAAATGGTATACATGCAATTAAATCCATATTCTATGTAAACTTAGTCCACAATTTTCATAGAAGATAATATAATATATATTATATATATATATATATATATATATATATATATATATACTGTTTACTGTTTAGCTTATTAAGAAAGAAAAAACTCAAACAACCTAGAATTTCAGTCCCGTAGTCTAAAATTATACAAAAATCCTTAATAATTTGGAATACTGTATCTCCGTGTGGCGACATACTATTGTCGATCCATAACTACAACATTGCCCCGACGCCAAGTATAGTTTGGCAGATTTCTTTTTCACATTTATAAATCTTTTGATCGTATTTTGTAGTCACAAAGTTTCAAAAAGTCAAAATAACTCACTTAAAATGTATAACAAGATCAGATAAGATATCATATCGCTTAACTTGGAATCGGACCCGAACAAATTTTGCCATCATGCTCAAAAATGTTTGCTAGTATAAATTCGTAATTGTTAATTACCAAGGCGACGTCCGTGCCTATTGTTTTCATAAACAAGGTAACTTGTTTGTTTTTTTGTACCCTAATACTTCTCGATTATAGACTATTTACTTTATGATTTGTAGAAAACCTTATTTTCATCCAATATACATCATTAGTTTTGTCCTACGTATCCATTATTCAAATCATTACGCATGCAATTGCCACACATATGTATCACAACATATCATTTGTATCAATATCACAGATAGTACTAAATATCAGCTCGTGTCAATAATCTGCAATTTCATCATATCGGGTGAACATAATTATAGAATCTCATATCTATGCTTTTACTTTTTACTTAGGTTCCTCTTTTATGTGTAAAACCAGATATCGTAATAATAAGACACTATTATTACGATTTCTATGTATTTAACACCATGTATAAGCAGCGAAAGGCGTAAAGGCAAACGAATGTGTACGAAGGTTTTCCTTGTTTATAATGTACCTAACACATGGACTGAAAGTCAAGGGCCTAAGAAAGAAAACGCGTTTTTTTTTTTGTTTCAAATTGGCTTTATTCATCAACCTAATCTCCATCAAAACCATCCACACAATCATTCCAGCGCCGCTCTAACATTTCAATACAACTTTTGTAGACCGATTTATTTTTTGCCTCAGTAGGTCTCAGTTTCAGCGATAACCTCTTCATTTGAGCGACATTTCTTACCGGTAAGCATTTTTTTGAGGTCTATTTCGGCCTACAAACGCTCCAATAACGCTATATAATAATCACTGTTGATGGTATTTCCCTTCTCCAGATAGTCGATGAATATTACACCACGCACTTCCCAAAATACTGAGGCCATAACCTTTCCAGTCGATTATTGTGTTTTCGGGCGCTTTGTACGAGGTTCACCAGTTGCTCTCCTCTCAGATGACGATCGTTTTGATTCCGGAGTAAAGTGATGGATCCGTTTCATCCATTGTCACATATCGACGAAAAAATTCCGGTTTGTTACGTTTGAACATGGCCAAACACTGCTGAGAATCATTAACACGTTTTTGTTTTTTGGTTAACAGTGAGCAAACGTAGCTCCGACTTTGAATAGAGCTTTCTCATAGTCAAATACTCATGCAATATAAAGCCAACATGTTCTTTTGATATTTTTGCGATGTCAGCTTACTCACGCAACTTCTTTTTTCGATCATTCAAAACGATTTTGTTGATTTTTTTGATGTTTTCTGGTGTTACCGCCTCATTTGGACGTCCACTGCGTTCTGCATCATCGGTGTCTCTACGTTTGAAGTCAGCATACCAACGTGTTATAGTATAACTAACCTATAACATTCAGATGTACCTGCTCGAGGACTTGTTTTGCGTATTACGTATTAGTACGTTCAAAATATATCGTATTTTTATACAGTATCAATAGTTGTTGCAGCGCACGCGCAAGGTATGGAAAGTTGCAAAAAGTATTTGATTCCTGCAAATATTTTTTATGGCCATGCAACTTTTCATACCTTGCTTTAAAGTATCGTCAATTTTACAGGAAATTAACGTTTTTAAAATAAAATATAGCCTATGTTAGTATGTAGCTTTCTAAAGGTGCAATAATTTTTTAAATCGGTCTAGTAGTTTCGGAGCCTATTCATTACAAACAAACAAACAAAAAATCGAATATTTCCTCTTTATTGTATTAGTATTGATAAGTAGAAATAGTTTTAAGAGATTCGTGTTTCTCATACTTATAAAGAAAAGGAATTGAAACTGTCTGTTTAAAATCAACAGTAGAGTTTATATAAACTGTCTTTAGCAAATAGTCTGCACATTTTCTGTTAGGTATATACATCTTAGTAAGTCCATCTGTTTCATAGTATTCCCTCTGAAACAAAAGACACTCGATTTACTGAAGTATTTTCATACAAATATTTAAACGTCACTCTGATTATTCATTGAAATGTAAAAAAATACGCAAACTGTACACTAATAGGTTAAACACTGTTGGAAATACCCAACGCTGTTTTTAGTCCTATCAATAGGATCGGAAAACAAGCTTTGACCTTATGTTACTTTACACTTTCCTAATTTTCCTATTTATCAAACCAATGATGTATCCCAAACTTTGTCTGATTTCAGTTTTCTACGCGATCCTTAGAACCGTCGTTTGGACTCCTCTTTAAGGATCTGCTCGATGACCTTGGCGTCCATACCACGGGTGCTTCCGTCATCGCCAGTACCTTGGACTCGGTGGTCAACTTTTCTGGCTTTTTCGTGGGTCCTGTGATAAAAACCTTTTCGTATAGAAAAGTGTGCTTCGTGGGGTCAACAATATGTGCTCTAGGACTGCTCTTTACCGCGCCAGCTAACAGCATGGGTCACATTATAGCTACTTACAGTATTTTAGGAGGTAAGTCAATTTTAAAGTTTGGCAAATTTTATAACAGCTTTTAGGAGCAAGGTTTTAACCTATAATCTTTACTATGTTGTCAAATATGCACCGTAATAAACTGTCAAAACTGTATCTAACATAATGGAACTCTGTAGTGAATCAAGACATAAGGATATTGTGATAACATGATTATTTTCATTTATTCATTGGTAAAACTATCTTATTTATCTATTTTATTTTAATTCTTCATGCACAAATTACAACTTAATTGTACAATAGCGGACTTAATGCCATAGGCATTTTAACCCAGTAAACCTTTTGGGTGTGGGGAAACGTTTGAGTAGGTGTACTAGTAATTAAGTGTTTTTTGTTTTAAAAAGATAATAATTGAGGAGATGGACAGAAACAGTGGGACATATATACATTCATACTGAAATACACATACACATACATATACACTTGCTAAGTTACATACATACAAATATACACAAATAATATATTAAACTTACGGATGCTATGAATCTGCTAGCTATCTCGATATATCTCTAGTCATTATTAACATTGATTCTCGATTAAAAGGAAAATACTCCGTTCTTGACAGGAAGGCTTTTATTTAATTGTTCTAGTTAAACTTCATTAATCGGCGTCTTCCTTCATTATTGAATATTCCATGTTTGAGGTACTGGTCAATTGTGATGGGGTTATTTTTATAATAACTGTTAAGCATTTGCAGGCCAATGGCCTTTCTTGTTTTTATTTTGCCAGTTATACCACTTACTTGACTCATAGTGTGTGTGCCGCATTGTCAGATTGTTTATTCTAAATATGTTTTTTTTTATTTGGGTGATTTTGATTTATTGGACATATCTTTGAACTCGATCTCGACATAAATAGATCAAATCTGTAATATACTAGCGTGCTTTGGTTGTTTAATATCTTATCTTATTACCTGTCATTTCATTTGTCAAAAACAAGAGTAGGTACTTGAAGAGTTATTCAACTAACATCCTTGCTCCCTTTGTGTATTATATAGATCGATTACAACTTTGATTAGCACGGCTTTTTAATACTATGTTATTTATCTTAGAGGGTAAAACCTTTTTTTTAATTTCAAGTACGGTATAAATATACCGAAATAAAAATATTACATCGACGGTACAAAACCAGCGACGATCCAGACGATGACACTGCATACTACCAGAGCTGTGTGACCGAATTGTTGAAATATCGGATAGATCTTATTTATTTTACAATTATAATTATACTAATCAATAATATTGTAATAAATGTAATGTACATTTATTACAATATTATTGATTTTTTACAATATTATTGATTTATTACAATATATGTGAAATTTGGATGTGTTTAATGTGTGGTTTACGTAATAATCAGTTTATAAATTTAAAAACATACAAGGTAAGTTACTTTATAATTATTCTGACCTAAGTACTCGTAGTTACAATGTAAAATTTTCCTATAGTTTTCCTTTGCACGACCCTCGTAAAATACGACGGTCAGTGTCACAGAATCACGTTTACATTGCTTGTTTGGTCTATGAATACTCTAGGATCTGAATAGCCCAAGTCAATGTTGCATCCCGCAACGTAAAACAGTGGAAACCTTGTTGGCAACCACTAGGTACTCGGTTTGTTCCAAAAACACGAGCAATCTCTGACTACATTTATTGTTAATTTAATCCGTTTCGTTTGTAAGTAAAGTGAAGTTAGCTACTAATGAGTAGCTAGTTATCTCTTTAAAAGACTAAACTTACTTTAAACAGAACATGATTCTTGAAATTATTCAAAGCGCATAAGTTATACGCTTTGACTAATTTCAAGAATCATGTTAATACACACTATATAAATTCTTCTTTTCCATTTTATATTTCCTCTGAATAATTACTTCAACTACTATAACTAAGTGCGACTAAAGATGACCTCGTTCACCCAAAAAGTTAATGGTATGTTATAAAAAAAAAGCGATTGTGCTTTAGACCACACGACTGAAGTAAAACTTCTTGTCAACTTCTCAACTTCCGTTCCCCTCGACTCACATCGGATCGGAATCACACTTTTCGTAACGCTATCGTCACGTTCACTAGCTTACTCCCCAAGTCAAGCATTCGTAAAGAAGATTTACTTAAAAAAAAACAATGTGCAGAAATTCATACAACAGGTAATGTGAATCATCACATGCCCGATGCCGGGCCCGTAAAACAACTTATGGTTTGTTTTGAACATGATCTGAAGGTTAACAATTCTCGTAATACAAATTTGTTCAAAATTTATTTCCACTCGATCTCACAAATGTCAGAAAAGGTATTCTCGTAGCAAAGTATTCAATATCTATCTATCTATAATATTAAGTCTCGCCGCCATTCCAGCCTGCTTCTGTTAGGGTGACAGATGGCCTCACCTGTCACCCCCAGGCCTGCGCTTATGGAGGACGGAGGTCGTTCTGCGACCCCCGGCGCCCGAGTCGTCTGCGGAACCTGGTCCGTTTCCGGACCTGGTGGGCCGGGAGAGTTCTAATCCTCTACCGGTCACGGTACGAACTCCGCCATCTCCTTCGCAAGCATAACTTGCTCGCAGAAGGAGACGGCGGAGTTCGTACCACGGCGGCAATCATACTACCGAGCGAGAGGACTCCCACCCCGATGGTCATCACGAGGTCACGCCTCTGCTCCACCCACGCCGGGTATTCTGCCAACGTGTGGAGGGCCGTGTCCACAGTGTCGTGGCAGCAAATCGCAGTGGTGGCACTCAGGCATTGGCTCCTTGCGGATCAGACACAGGTGATCTCCGAAAAACCTTTCCCGGTGATCACCTGCGTCAGTCGGTATGAGAGGGTTCCGTGACGCCCCTCGAGCCAATCCTCCATAACGGGTCTTACCGCCGCAATGACGGCGTGCCCGGCCCTCGGTTGCCCAAGTCGTTCCTTCCACTTCTCTACGAGGACCTAGCGGAGCTGGGATTTCAGATCCTCGATTTCTCGAGTCTCAGGGCTCAGACCCAACTCCCGCGCCTCCTTGCGACACCGATATCCAGGCTCTCGCCTCCAGGTCCCACGGTGGAGTTCCGGCCAGGAGACTCGCCGCCTCAAATGAGATCGTGCGGTACCCCCTTATGACCCTGATGGCCAGCACTCGCTGCGGTCGTCGCAGTAGTGCGACGTTGCTGGCCTTCAGGGCTCCCGCCCATACTGGGGCCCCATAAAGGGCCATGGACCGCACAACCCCCGAGTAGAATCTTCGGCATTTCCCCTGCACTTTTGTGGCTAAGACTTCTTTTCTCACCAAATTTTATGATTCCAGTTGTTGTTAAGTATTAGCACGTTTTTTTTTTAAAGATAGTATAAACAGTTAATACTACATAGCTTTAAAAGAAACGTTGAATGTTTAGCGACTGTTGCAGCTAGTAATGAAGTTGTACATGACTTTTATAAATGATGTTGATGAATGATGAGTGTAGTGTTATTTGTCAGAGCGCATAATCATAAGCATCAACTGCCGACATTTACATTACCGGCGAATTGTTTACCCTCGTATTAATTAACGTAATCATTATTTCCACTAATTAATATTTCCTTTTACAACAATCATTATTCTCGAATGAATAACTGTTAGTGTTTGAAGTCGTGTTTTTATTATGTTCATTCACCGTAAACATCATATATATCGTAAATATCACATATTCAAATGACTGAAATGCTGAAACTACAAAATTCCGAAATAAATAGTTTACACGTTAAAAAAGTATTTTATTTAACCTTATCTTACGGTGGAAACTGTATAATTTTTTTTATAGTAAGTGTCACTGCCATTTAAGCTAGTTAATTGCCCACTGTGACAGTACCTAAATACCTCGGTTCAAGGCTATATAACTGTTAATGTTAATCACTGATCACATGTATTAGGAGTGTAACATTTCTTAATATTAAAGTAATCTCTCTCTGTGTTTACCAGAGTATTACCTACAGATATTTAATAGTATACTGTATTTATTTTTGTCAAGTAATCAAAATTAACGAAACTGTGATGTATAGATCCGTGGAGGTTTTGAGGTCAACTGCCGCTGGGTATTCTAGTTGTGAAACACAATAGACTCAATCCAAATGAGCCCAATTGTTTTAAACAAAAGTATTTATCAATGACTCCTAGAGCGTTTTCTCATTCTCATCATGTGATCATGTATTCTGTTAAAAAAAAGGAAGTGCATGTTCTTAACCTAACACGAACCTAATACAATGTTACTGATAGATAGGTTAAGATTTAAATAATAATTAATAAAATGACTTAGAAGAATTAGTTACCAGTGTTTTCACGACTATGTACAGCAATATTATGTACTTTGAACAGGTAATCCCATTTTAGCTCAACATTGTGATATACAATGATGCTATTATGCTATTACAATAGTGTTAATTTTACATAATCATTTTACTGTCAGAATTTGAAGATCCTTGTAACAAAGACGCAATCAGAGTTGAAAATACATGAACCCAGAGATTTTTCATAGTTACAAATTGACCGGGCTAGTGCAGACTAGACGAACGATCTAAGGATTTGTCTACTCCACTTTTTTGTACACCTGACTATGTTTGCAAAATTATATGAGAATCGAATGAGTGGGCAAAAGTTGGTAAAAAATAGTGGGAAAGCTTCAAAACAAACAAAAAAAAGTCAATGTTAGTTAACATTGTAAAGTAAATATCGCAGTGTCCTACATATCTATACAGGATATGACTATCGCAGCTTATAATAAACATATCCAATTTAAATGGGAATTGCGAGTCACATCTGTTACATTACAAACGGTAGCGGTTTCGGCCTCCCTGCTAAAATACTCAAATATGAAGTTTAATATACTTTTTAACTTAATTTTATTTAGATACTTAATTGTTAAAAAAATTAAATCCTATATTAAAATGAATTCTAGTAGGTAGGTATTAAAATTGTTTCTTGAAATTATGTAAACAGTGTAGAAATGGGTAGTCTCCAAAATATGTCTTGATCCACTTTAGTAATTATTTGAAACTGTCGGTCGTTTTCGCACTTTCCGGGAAGAGCCAGTTCGAATTACAGCTCGAGCTATTTTCTTACACTCCACAATAACCTTTACCTACCATTGTCCTACCGTCTTGTCTTTTTCATTCATAGAGCCTACCTGACTGCAATAGGCTTCCCCTTATTAAACAAGTTAAATTAAAACTATACTGGGCAAAATGTGGGCGTGTCTTATCGTGGACAAAGGCGTGAATGTATGCATATTATAAATAGTTGCTTTGTCGAACGTCACTGTAATTCACACATTCAACATCCGGGAAAGTAAACTCCTAAAATATTTTATATACTGTCATTTATTTGATTTTAATAGTAACGCCATTAACACCAGATCAGGTTTTACAATAATCATTTTGAATATTTACAACATGAACTTTCAATGAGAGTAATAATTATGTGCTAAATTAACTTGGCTTGGGGCTTCCGTAAGGAATAGGGTATGCAATGTGTTTTCGCAGTGTTGATCGCATTACATACTTAAATATCTATTACCAAAATAGTGTACAGTTTATAAGATTGAGCCTAAAAAGAAAAAGTAAAACTAAAAAGAAGAGCCTAAAAAGAAGAAGGAGTTACTAAAAAATGGTTTGCGGAGTATTTGGCAGAAGTATTCTTTCTGTCTTCTCTCTAAACCAGTCAATGAAATGTCTTAAACTTTTAAAAACTTGAAAGTACATAAATAATACATAGAATCATTTTTACATGTAAATAATGGTACATAAACAATGTGCCTTACTATTTACATAGGAGGTATTTGAAAAATACAAAGGCAACTTCGCTTATTGGATTTGTATAATTAATTACTTTTCATAATGAAATAAAATGCGTACAATAATATTGGTCTTCATATTGGCTTTATTTAAGAGATACTCGTAACTTTATGACATTTGTATTTAAGTCGGTTTTCAGGCATATTATGAAACATATCTAAACATATGAAATGCAAATAGTTCAAGCGTTGCGTGGTCGTAATTGCACATGTCGCTGAGTTTCTATCGTATAAAAATTATTCTATTTTTGTTTGTGTTATCTCTATTCTTGGGCAACACAATATTTGTGGTATCTCTATTCTTTTGCCACTCCATAGTATGGAAAGTATGTACAGGCCTATTTGAGCTTTAGCCAATATTGTTAGGGTAAATTCCCCATTAAACGTAACTCGGGGAAGTGCGATTAACGCGATACAATATTGAAGCTCCTTAGCTGGTTTTTTGTTTCTGCAATTTTCCTTTTCGGACTTTATCTTTTATTGACGTGTACTTTATGAATCTTTGAGTCCTCGGTCGACATGAACATTCTCGGGTCTTCAACACAAAGATGTATTATATGTTTACGGTACAAGTTACAGTACAGTTCCACCTTTATTTTTAATTAATTTAGCACAACCATTTTTATCATAGCCCTGTTCTAGTTACTAGACTATTATTTGATGTCTCTAATTCCATATCATATTAATTTCATTGAATTTAAAGACATAGAGCTGAAAGTAAATAAAATACTTGTATTTTAAATTATAAAATTAACCTAAAACATGACATTTGAGATAGGTAGATACAATTTATTTACAATATAACAGGTTAAATGCTTAAAAATAAACGAGTGAATCATTTAAATAAGTGATTAAAGGTCGGTGTTATCCGCTGTAGATAACGTGCAATGTGCAGTCTTTTTCTTTATAGGTCACAATCTCCTTTATGTAGAACGATCTTGTTGTTGTAATGATAATATTAATATCAAATCTTAATGTGCATTTTAATCAGTACTGTCACCTAACTTGTTTATGATATTTACATAATAATATATTAGGTCTTTACCTATGAAGTTGGAGAATATTATGAAAAGTTTATGATATAAATGTTAATTGTAAATAATTTAACTAGTCAAAGTACTGACCCACATTATATATACAATTTTGCCATTTTAATGACAGTTTGTTTATACCTTTATTGTAGTCTGCTGGACGGGAAGCGATGCGATGAAGCGTTTTGTTCTCGGATGTTAATTTTTTCCGACTATTTTTTTTTTAACATTGGTAAACATAGAAATGAATTGGAGCGAGGTCCGGTGAGTACGGTGGGTGACGAAATGTTTCCAGCTATAACTCTTGAAGCTTTGCGATTTTTTGTCGTGAAGTGCGACCTCGCGCGTTGGCGTGGAGAAGCAATGGAGAAGGGCGATTGACCAGTCGCGGTAGCTGAATTGCGAGCTTTTTCATCATTGTTTGCAATTCTAGGCAATAGATCTGCTGTCAATTGTGCAATTGGGTAAGATGCTGTGATGTAAAAGTCCGGCACTGGTCCATCAGACAGTTACCATCATCTTCCGATGGGTATTTTTTTGTTTAGCACACTGATTTAGTGCTTGTACTCAGGTGCACTCACTGAGACGAACGCTTACGGTTATCGTACAGGATCCACTTTTCGCACTTTTTTGCATGCTTCGACTGGTATGAGTAGCTTAGTTCGTGTGGCATCCACTTATCTAGTTCTTTTTTGATGTCTTTGTCTCTGTCTTTGTCTTTGTGTTTTTTTGTTTCGTCGTTGTCGACTAAAGTTATGGGCCGACCGCGAGGCTCGTTCTTCAACTTAAAATTTCCAGATCTAAAACGATTGAACCAATAATGGACTGCGTTTATGCAATTAGTGTTAGGCTCGTACACGTCTCTAATGTTTCGTGTTGTTTGCGCAGCAGTCTCTCCACGTAGCAACTAATATTCTGAAATTGTAAGAATTTTCACTATCTAAAACAATTGACCGAATTTCAAATTAAAATAACATGGCTTTCGAATAAAATTTATTTGAATAACGAATCGCGCCCCAATCCATAGGTAATTAGATCAGAAAATGCTGGGTTTGAAAATCTTTAACTTCATAGGTAAAGACCTATTATTAGGAATTGTAAATCGGTACAGGTAAATCGCGTATCTGCTGACCTCAACCAATGCAGTTTCTATAATATCGAATATTTGTTATCCGTGGCAAATAACTACTAATGATAATTATTTTTAGGATTTAAACCATCTGTTAATCAGCCCTTAAACTATGCTAGCGTAACATAAGTCCAAAATACTTTCACAAAATTACATTTCAAAATTAGAAATGCAAAAGTGATTTTAAATATTATGTAAGTATTTTTGTTTGTGACACTTATTATTGAGTATTACCATAGAGTATTTTTTATATACACATTGTCAGGGTTGCATAAATTAATATAATTAGCAACTAGCATAACGAACATATGAACAGCCAAACGCATATCTTAATGACAAAGATTCAAATATTTTAAACCGATTTAAAAAACACAAAGGAGGAGGTTATCAATTCGTCTGTATTTTTTTTTATATTGTTTACGATTATCTAGGATGCCTTATGTTCTTATGACTTCGGGCATAAGAACAAAAGGCATCCTAGACTATCTATATGTGCTTTAATAACTTTAATATCTGTTGCAGGTTTCGGAGTGGGCCTCGCATCCTCATCTTCCTTCGTGTCCTTAAATCATTATTTTTCTAAGAAGCGTGGCCAAGCCGTGGGTTTATCCATGGCAGGCACTGGCTTCGGTTTAATGGTCATGCCTCAGCTGGTCAATTTGTTACTTGGCGAGTTTGGCTTTAGATGGACGGTCGTCATATTGGGGGCGTTAGCCTTTCACGCAATTCTTGGATCCTGTTTGCTTCAGCCGGTGAAAAGACATCTCATAGAAGTGCCGGTTGATTGCGAAATGCAGACAGTCAAGGTAACTATTTTATTAAAACATCTTGTATGCATATATATTGATTTACTACAACGAGGAAATTCTGCGGTGTAGTTCACTGTAGTTACCCACTTCTACTAATTGTAGTGTCAACAAAGTTTTTCATTCTCTTTACTATACTTAACTGTTGATAGAAGCGTGACGTAAGTCAGTTACAGGGCGCCTGTTACTTGTAATCTAACGAAATCGGCAGAGTAGTTAAAATACACTTTCCACATGCCATAGTTAAATAGTAAAACAATGGAATAGTAGATACTACATTTTAGTTTATTTAAATACTTATCTAGTTTTGCCTGTGTTACTATATAAAATATCTTCGGTTTCAATGTGAATAAATAATTCCTTTATTTTCAGTATCTCTATTAGAGGTAGAATATTGTATTAAAATTAAAATTAGATTAACCTTGAGTACAATAAATTAAATTATGAAAATAACAATTGAAGTCACTTCATAAATCAGAGATATCGCTTAACAAACACAAAAAAGAAAATTGAATTGAGAATCTCCGTTTTTGGAAACGATAAAAACAAGACTTCCTGATAATCCAAGCATGCATGCATAACAATATTTTTTTGACTTGTCGGGAAGCGCACACAACATATTTATGTAATAAGCGCAATTCTATAACAATGTAAAGTAACAAGGCCATTACATCAATTCAATAGTGTTGTACCTTGTAATATCATCCACTCGAGATATAAAAAATATTTTATTACTGAACATTTGTGTTCATTCTATTTTAAAATAGTTAATGGCACGGAACTTGGAATGCAACCAAACCAAGTTTTAAACAATACATTAGATAATATAAATTAGTCACTGCAAGTATTGAAAGCTCATATCTACTTTAAGAGAGCTATTATCATGAGATACATTTTGTCTGGTTTCTGTTATCCGACTTCTGCCAACCCTAATTGAGAATGTAAGCATTTTTAAGAGGGATAAATAGAGATGGTATATTGGGGTCACGAAAAAACATAGGAACAGACAGCTAAGGAAAACGTCAAGTGTTGGATGTAAACGGGATTGTTGGATGTTCATCATGTAACTGGAGGCACCACTTATCATCAATTGTGCTGCAAATCACGAATGTTTCATTGTACAAATAACCTTACGGAAATAAGTGATATTCAAAATATCGTAAAATATTCTTTTAAATTAACTGATTATTCGATAATACATAGTAACGAAGCATCCATATCAAAATGAAATAATACTTAGTATGACATTGACTCTTTAAGCTCGTTATGCTGTCTCAAGTATATACGGCTTCGCGTGAAGCCGGAGCATTCGAATACTTATTGCGCTGCGAGAGAAAATTACATAGCTATGGCATTGGTGTGTCTAGAAAACTTGTACATTTACATACATTTAATTAATAAAGTACTTCAAAGTTATAAGATGTAGATATATCTAAATACTACTACTTTTGTACCAAAGTGGTGGGGTTTTAAAAGGAGATACATAAATATAAAATATATACAGCGACATGTTTCGTAGTAAGTATTTGGGTATTTTGATTATATGACTTCCAAATATTCTATATCTGTATCTATAAAAGGGCAACCCACCTTTTCTCGAAGCGCTTTGTCGTTTTTTTGAACCCTCATAACTTGGGTTTGTTTTTTCGGGATATGATATCAGTAGTGGACTTATTCAACCTATAAAGTTTAATTTGCATAAATCTTGTAGTTTAGATTTTATTGATATCTAAAAACCCCTATTTTGTCACTGATCAAATCCGTGACTTCATCAAAATTCTTTGGGTACTTGCTGAAATCCCCCAAGAAAATAGCCAAGCCAAATATTTTGACTAAGGTGTTTGACTAATTTGATTTTGGTGGGATAAATATTAATCCGATCCGTCCTATAACCATGTCACATATATGCAACTTAAATAAATGAATTTAAAACACGATAGTCAAGTTTTTATGAGCCAAACTAGAAAATTAGAGGAAACTTATATGTAGTAAATAGCATTGCTAACCTTTGTAAAGCATTTTAAATGAGGTGATGCTTTATGCTGTTTCTTACTAGAAACACGAAAATCTCAATTCAACCGAATCGTCTTAAATAAAAATTCTCGAGTTTTTCGTATTAGTTCATTACAAATAATACATGTCGCTGAAGTTAAAAATAAATATCACGTCAGTGCGCCATTTATACGATTTTATGCAAATATGGGCGGCTGTTTCGACACCAAGTACCAAACACAAAGAGTTAAAGCATGTTCAAATATGGAAGAGGTTGGATAGTCAAGGATATTTACTCTGTTTTAAAATTTACTTTGAAAGTAAAGAAGCAAGTAGATTCTTCTAGACTAAATTATTCAGACTAGTTAACGTCCAAGTTAGTCGGATTAAGAGTAATGTCCCGTGAAAATTGCCGGTCATCGTCAGTGTCTTAGAAAGTTTAACGATCTTTAAAATGTAAAAAATTCAAACACCTTAAATTTACCAGTTATATACCGGTATTGCTTACTTTTGCATTATAATATATTACGATACAACAATATTGAGTTTCTTCTAGTTCATCCAATTTATAAGTATAATAAAATATCGCGTTTTAGGAGTTACTGCCGTAAATTCAAGAATTGCATTTTCCAATTAGAATCGGAGATGTAGTGAACGAAAGCTGTAGAGAACATGTAGAGAAGGAACTCGCGTTAAGGTACTTTACTCAGGTACTTAAGAGAGTTTAATTTTTTTAATGATGAAATTGGGCAAACGAGCAGACGGGTCGACTGATGGTAGTGGGTCCTTCCCCCTAGAAACAGATGGAGGGAGAGTTTGGGCTCTATTAACCTCATTCATTCGGTGAAAAACAATGATCGCGATGCTCACACCGGTCTTTTGGTGAGGCCGTGGTATTACGCCGGTCGAGTTGGCCCGAAGCATGGCTCACCCACGTCATGGCTCGTCATCATCATCATCAGCCTTTTATAGTCCACTGCTGGACATAGGCCTCTCCTTAGAAAGGAGGTTTCCTACTACACCACGCTGGCCAGACGGGTTGGTATTGGTTTGTGTCAAGTTTTCCTTCTCTTTGCAGTGTTGTTGTCCTGCGTACTTTGCTTCCTTAGTCGCCTCTTACGACACCCATGAGATGAATAGGGGTAGTGACAATCCGTAATCTTAATCTTAAATTGTTATTAGTAAATATTTTTTTAATACGTACTTAATTCCGTATTAAGTACGTAATATTCTGTAATTAACCCGCATCGAGCCTTATGATTCCTATGCATGCTTATACATTTGAACATTTCTAACCAAATGATGAATGTTACCTCTTTCAGGAAATGGAGTGTATAATGGAGAGTGACGAAGAAAATGAAGACAAGTTCGAAATAAACCCTCTAGTATCACATCCAATCCCAAAAATTATCAAGCAACGTTCTCATGGGAATATGAACCATCCTTCAGTAAGAACAATAGGATTGCCTCGTGCGAAAACCTGTGACAAACCTTTACCTGAGTTCGAGTTTGATAAAAGAAGTAAGTTGTATCCAGGTTTGACTACAGCGGCATCAGTAGCCGTGATGCCGAGAGTGACATCTAGTGGCAGTATGAGTGAAGCGGCTAGAAAGAGAAAAGTATCAGTCATTTCAAATATTTCCAACATGGATTTCACTGGCAGTTACTTGCAATTGTATCTCGACGTAAGTATTGGACCTGAATGCTTTAAGACGTTATTTTATTTTACGTTACTTGACAAAACGTACATTATAATTAAAATTTAGTAAAATCTCAGTAATAAATGTTACGCTAAATATTGTCTCAGGATTATTGCCATAAGAATCTTAGCAAGAGCAATAAATATTTGAAATTTAAAGACGTGGATAAAACGATGCATACGATAATATTAAATGCGTTTTGTTTGCATAATAATGTATGTTAGTTTATAAATATAAGTAAGAAAATTATCAAGGTTACGTAAACATATCGTTTTGACGAAATGATAAGTTAAAGCGAAAAAAAAAGCTGTCAATTTAATCTAGAATCCTCTTGTGTTGTTAAATTTTGATTAGAAAATAAAATAATTTTTACTCTTAACTGATTGAAAAGGAGGAAGTTCTAGGATCCACTGTATGCATTGTTAGGGTTCCGTACCTAAAAAGGAAAAAAAAGTTTTTTAAATTAAATATTTATTGTACTATTTTTTTACAGACGGCGGATGATGAGGCCATCCAAATGAAGCCAATTAAAAAGGATGAACCAGCTCAAGAAAAAAAAGGCTTCTTCAAAAAGTTTATATCACTAATGGACTTAGATTTACTTAAAGACTGGTCATTTTTGAACCTTTTACTCGGGCTCTCTCTATTTTGGAGTGGGGAGCTGCAATTTAGGATGTTAACACCATTCTTCATAAGAGGATTGGGTTACAACATGAACGATACTGCGTTCTGCTTATCCATGACTGCTATAACTGATATTTTAGTGCGGTTGATCCTGCCGCCTATATTTGACAGGACGACTATTTCCAAGAAAATGATTTTCTTCGTGTCTGCGTTCTTTTTAGCGGCTACCAGATCTGGTAAGTGGTAGAGACCATATTATTTAATTATAACACTTTAGTTCTATAGCTTCATTTTATATATAATAAAGTAGGATGGAATAATTTTAACGTAGCGTACTGAACGCAACGTTAAAATTGTCTCGCACGTACATAGAAACTGTTGTTATCAACTGATTTAAGTATCTCAGTATCTCGAAAGTAAGGATTGCACTAAAAATAATAGAAGAGAATGAAACCTAAATTTTCTTATATTGTATAGAAAGTAAGAAAAAACCATAGATAAACTGGATTTTCAGTCACAGCCTACCTAGCTTTTCAGGTAATGTTGAAGTAAAGACAGACGTGATAGTTTTGAAACTAATCGAGGTATTATTAGAGGTTTAATTTATTTCAGTCAAAAGTGACAAACTTAAACTCTTACAATCAAAACTAATTCTAGAAATTTATTTCTTACATCTTTTACGTTTCCAGTGTTAGCTGAACAATCGGAATGGGTGCCTTTAATGATATGGTTGTCGATCTGCGGTTTCTTCAGAGGCATGTGTCTCAGTAACTTTACTTTGACAATATCTGAGTACTGCCCGCTGGAAAAGCTACCTGCGGCCTTTGGTCTGCACATGGTCAGCAAGGGTGTATTCGTTGTGGCCATTGGACCGCTTATTGGTAAGTAAAATTGTTTGTTTACGATGACGTCATTTTGTTGACATGACTGGAAACGGAATATTTTGACTAGTTCAGTAAATAATAGATAGTGATAAGTGTAGAGAACATAGTGAAAAAAACACTTTTGGCAGCATTTACTATTAAACACATACATGTATTTACGCGACGCGTTGTTACACCATTACATCATTCATTATTGCTTTCCCAGGCATCATACCTAACCTAATGGTTTATCTAGTCTTGTCATTCTTGTGCATTAAATTATATTAGGGCAATGGCTGCTGCTTTTGATTAAAAACAAAGAAAAACGCATGCAACTCAGTAGTACAAGTGATACATTACTATTTTTTTCTTTTTTTTTTTAAATAAGGTCTACTAGCAACCGAAATTACTAGTATTCCCACTAGCCGGCCCGCTAAGCTTAATTGTTTGTGTGGGTTGTAGGAGTGGGTTTACGTCGGTAGTGTACTGGTAAGGATTTGAACCCAAGACCTTTTGATTGCAAGTCCAATGCCTTAACCACTAGGCCCGCCGCTTATTATATAATTTATATTCACTATTGCAAAAACCCATATTTCTAATACGTATATCGTTTATTTGCAGGCTATGTAAGAGATTACACTAACAGCTTCTCAACATGTATTCACGTGCAGAACGCTCTTATTATGTCATGCGTTCTCGTGTGGGGCATCGAATACGCTCTGGCCTTCACCCGCCGCAGGAAAGTCGTCCAGATTTAGTGATCGCCTTCAGTCCATTTATTGGACCAAAGAGTTTAAACTAAGAGGAGTTGTGGTAGATAAAAATTAAACGAGAAAAATTGTGATATTATACCCTCGATAGGTGGCCGAATGTTATTTCTTCCTGATCTTCCATTAGTGATATGAGCCTTGGAAATTGACAGTAATGTATTTTGTTTCTGTAGAATATTCAAGTATGAGAAAGGGTGGTATGTGTTACTTTTGGCCGTGGATCTTCTTGTATCGTTTACTCAGAACACAGTTTGACTATAGTTAGTTCAGGCTACACTCAAAATATTGTAGCACTATTAAACGTTTGTTTTTGATACAAGTGAAAAGGTTTTTACAATTCGTGTAATTTGCCACTAATCATAATAATGCTGTATGTATGGATATATTCTTCTTAATATTTAGTGGTGTATTTGTTGTTTCGGTTCTTATACAATATACGTATAAGAAAAGTGTGGCGATGGACACAACTTTATTTAAAAGTCCACGGGTCAGCTCCTCTTTGTTTATCCTCAGCTCAGCAGTAACTGGTATTAACTGCTATAATTCATTATTATTTTAATGTAATGAAGACGTTTTATGTAGACATTCTTAAGAAGTACAATAGCTTAATAATATAATGAAACGCCAAATATGTTTGCCCAATTTTGACGTAATTGTTCTAGTTAATCTTATGTATTGATACATATACAGTACAGTAGACAGACTATTACATTCTTTTGAGGTTATATGCGATACATATTTTTTTATTGCTGTCTAAATTTATAGCTATCGACCACTTTAAAATCGAGAATCTAACCTGAAATTGATAAATTAAAACTGTGCCAAAAACAATTTACAAAAAGCCCTTAAACCAAATCTTTTTTGATTTATTAACGTTATAAAAAAAACTTAAGTGTAATTCAAACATTATTTTCGTAGGTACTTTCTTTATGTTTATTGGTAACGTAATGATGTTTATAACATCGTACTATTCAACTCAACAATAAAGAACTCGACCGACGTTATTCTATTCTATAATAAAACAAATACCTACGCTGATATAAAAATACAAAGATTTAAAAAAATAGCAGTAATACTCGCCATAATTTTTGCAGGCTGATTGCAACGCCAATTATTGTGGAAATTGATACAAATCGAGATGGTTCAGACTACTTTATATTAACAATTTGTCGAACGCACTTAAACTAAAAATATTTTTTTTGTAAAAAATTAACTAACAGGTTAACTAACAAGATGGTGCACAAAGCCTTTGCTCGCATTTTAATTATAAATCTAAACCTGCCAGGAACAATCACACAAATACACAAAAAAAAACCTAAAGCTTAGTAATTTAAACCACCCAGGGAGAAATTTAGATCCGTGCAGCACAATTTTATAAACAAATTTTTCATGCAATATTAAATTTGTCCTGGAAACTACAATAACAACTCATTTTAATTAAATCGAAACATATTGCTCCTCCATCAGAATGAAATTGGATTTGTCTGTTGTACTGTTTTATTCTGTTAAATTATGCTAGCTATTTGAATACCCTATGGCATTGGTGTCTATAAGAATGTTGATTGAAATTGTTTTGTCCACTTTGTAAGATCTATATATTTGTATAAAAATATTATCAGGTACACTTTTTAAATGTCACATTGTAAGTCTACACAGCTTCCATATCAATTTTGACGAAGGCAAAATTCTATTCAAATATTATAATGATTGTGTCAATGGAATGGATTGCTTTTTGAATTCGGACCGAAAGTAGCAATCGTATAAAAAAATAACATTTGTTCAAAGTTGAATCAACGTTTCTTTTTATAAAGCGTGTACTTAATATGTACCTATGTTAGACATCAAGGTACATATATACTATATATTTAGTAAGAAATTTGGTGCTTCTTCATTATATAAATAAAAAAGTATTTATTAGAATTTATGTTGCCGCGATATACCTATGTCTAAATTAAATGATTTCTTGAAATTCAGTCTTGGATGAGATATTGTAAAGTTATTCGTTATTCTTTTCATGTTTATTATATTTTGTACATGAGTACAAAATGATTTGAAATAACTAAATAAGACGTCGAATTTGTTATTTTTTATATACTTTTCTATGGTAAGTTCCGTTTTAACATTTAATAAAGAGTAACTGATTTGACTTGACAGTCAACTGCCGTATAGTATATATAGTATATATAGTATATCAATTTTGATATGGAAAAGCTAGACCTAGTTTTTACTTCCATTTCATGTGTCAAAGTTTAGTTTTTAATCAGTAATTTTGGAACATTTAACATCATATAGTTGTACATAGTTACATAGAATGTAACTTTTAGAAGTTGATTTATTAACAGTTAATATTTTTAGATGGCTGTTTGTAGTTACGGGAAGTTTTTGTAGGCGTGTATTTTTAGATGATATTAATTTATACATTATAGTACTAGGTAGTATTATATATGAAAGACAAATGGGGGCTTATAAAGTGTTTAGCAGACTGCTATAGGTCTTTTTATTAGATGATTGTATCGGAGTCTATCTTCAGTGTAATATATCAATTTTGTATCCAATTTACTTGATAACCATAACTTCACATGACTTAATATATTATTGTAATTAATTAGAGCTTAAAGTTGTGTACTTACAGCAGTTGCAATTCATTCTCATCAAATATCACTCAAATCTTCCAAGCCCTAGTAGCGATGTGTATGGCGCTTCGGATAGTTTTATTTTAAGAATGTAACAATTTATATCTGTAGTGCACCACTCGAGAAGAATAAATCAAATAGAAGGGGCATTTTTCTCCCATTGTATGGATAGTGACCATAAAAATGAAGATGGTGCACCGCTATTAAAAAAAATATCTTTTAACATTGCTCTTCAATATTCGTGGGCTTTATTATTGTGTTTTTGTACTGTTTATTTAAATGACACGGTTTACTACTCATTTATGTCATTTTTATTGTCGATTACATGAAGTACCATGACTGTGTCACTCACTGAGTGTGTACCATGACTTATCAATATCCGAATTTTGTTTATATACCCATGACTTGTATCCATTACTTATTTCAATTTAGTCACTTTTTTTTTAAATTTACTGTCATACACGAATTAAGCATTTACATTTAACTATATTGTCAGCATATTTTTTTTATAGAACTGTTTTAGAATTACGATATTTAAACCTCTATCTTATTTAAAGAATCCGTTTATTTCAATTCAACATGTTGCGTTTAACATTAAGAGCCAGGTTGCACATTAACGGATAAATGTAACCTATATATCGCTTTAATCGATAGTAATAATCATAAACCGGGTATACTGGATTCTCTCTTATATTAGTGCCTCAATATCAAGTATTTTTGTCTTCCAATACGGACCTATTAATAGCGAATCAACAGTCAGCAACGTATGCGTTTGGTGTTTGCTTCAATTGACCAAGTAATATTTTATAGGTATTTTCAGAGAAAACGGCATTATTTAGAGCATAAGTTAGCCTCGTTTTCACGTTACGAAGCTCGGACCGAGCGCGCTCGGATGTTTACTCGGATGCTACTTGTATCGTGTAAACACGCCACCCGTGTACACTGGGGGCAACCGATCAGAGTGAACTCGGGCGCGGTTCTTTTTTACGAGCTCACTCGGATCAATTATATAAAAAAAAATTGTGCAAAGAACAAGTAGAATGAACATGACACTATGAGGTTTATGAAACTATATGAAGAGAAGCAAGTGTTCTGGCAACCAACCAACTATACCAACCCGTCTCGCCAGCGTGGTATAGTAGGCCAAAACCTCCTTTCTAAGGAGAGGCTTATGTCCATCAGTGGACTATTAAAGGCTGTTGATGATGAAGTGTTCTGGAATATGAGGCTAAAAGAGTATAAAAACAAAGACGCCCCAAATGCTGCAATAGAACGCATAATTTATAATTTACACATACCTGAACTTATGATACCAAGACGTGAACAACAAATTCAATAATATCCAAAATACGTACTCGCAAAAACTATTTAAAAAAATCAACACGTGGTGTTATAAAAATCATTGGTACGATTTGAAATTGCAGATGGATTTCTATCGTGTGTAATAAAATAAAGGAAACATTTAATAAAATGTTTAGGGTTTATAACAGTTAAATAATAATTAATAATATTAGTAGTTTATTTGCTGTAGTTTTTTAATGTTGCTACTTACTGTAAGTGTGTAGTAACGCAAGACTATCTTAATCAACCAGTTATGCAGGGCGCAAGTTGCTCTTTACTATTTTATAGACTATCTGGCACTATTTATATACCTCGCAGTAGAAGGTCGTCATCATCGGACTTTTTGAAAATGGATTTGGTGCAATCAAAAAACGAGATAAAACGATACTCGGATGCTATTCGACTCTTAACGTATATACTGCACTCCGATCCGAATGCACTCTTACACGAACTAGTTTGTACGAGCGAACTCGGTCCGAGCTCACTTGTAACGTGCAAAACGCGGACAGACATCATAGCACATCACATCAATAGCCTTTAATAGTCCACTGCTGGACATAGGCCTCTCCTTAAAAGGAGGTTTCGGCCTACCATACCACGCTGGCCAGACGGGTTGGTATAGGGTTTGTGTCAAGTTTTCCTTCTCTCTGCAGGGCTGTTGTTCTGCGTAGTTTTCTCCCGTAGTCGGCTTTTACGACACCCACGGGATGAATAGGGGTGGTGGCACTCTGTATTCTTAATCCATCACCACACACAACCTAGGATTGAAGCGTAAACTATATTTCATTTTTATGAAATCCGTTACATTTTTACGTTAATACATTGTTTTAATTTGATTTAGTTTTTGTCTTAACAAAACTTGCTTTATATCGACTTTCTCAAAACTATCTCAATGATACTTCATAATATTCAACCTCGTTTTACATCCAAAATAAGTTCTCGATCCACCCAATCGTTTTCAAGATTAGCCTAATCTTCAAAACGATTTAAAATGCCTATCGTTGATGAGAATAT